ATTTGGTATCAGTCTTGGTCCTGACACACTACATACTCTCCCCTTAATGTGTCAGACCTCAGCTCCAGTTACTCTCTCTGGAGATCCATGACAGAGTCACAGTTACAGACTTGATATATTATACACAAGGAACTCAATGCAGTTCTGCTTCCATTTAGCAAAACGACCCTTTTTCTTAACATGACTTCCAGAAACAGAGGGAAACAGATCTCAGCTTTCACCAAGAGGATTCTATCCCTTTTATTTTATCTATGTTTTTACCCTTTCTGCAGATGACAGTCATGTGACCAAAGCACCAGCAGGAAAAATTCACCCATGGGGAGTGCAAATGACATTCTTCAGACTGCTTTGGGTATGGAGAGCTCCCAAAACTGCCTTTGGAAATAGCACAGGCAGCATTTCCACTGATGGGATTAAATGAAATCAGCTGCATTGTGCTGCAGCCATCCAGTTTCCTCTTTGGCTGCAAGTACTGGCACAAACTATGATAAGCCCCAGATAGTGCTTCATTGGAATCACAGAACTGAGACAGCTCTGACTTATTGGTATTCTGCAAAACAGTGGGGACTGACTTTTAATTTAGAAAAGAAAAGGTGATAAAAATCTTATATTTAAGAGTGTGCTTTCTGTTTACAGGAGACTTTATTACTCTTTGATGACAAAGAAACCATCAGGGTTTCCAGAAAACCTTCACGGTGTGCTTGTAAAATTAAATTCTCCTTCCAATAAATATAATGATTTATCTAGTTCACCTTAAAAAAAAACCCACACACACATTTTAATGCCTTTGAAGGATGTTGGTATGACAATAGGAACTATCCAGTCAAAAAGTATAGTCTGCATAGAAGATCTGCAAAGACTCCTCTGATATCTTCTCCACAGCCCATTAGGTCTTTGGTCTTTCCCTGGACAATATTGTCAGTGTTATTTCTGGATGCAATCTTAACTTGCTATAATCCAACCTACTCCTTCTGTTCCCAAACCCAACTGCATGGATCAGATTTTGCTTATTATCCTAATCCACAGCCCACAGAGCAGAGTGGGCACTGTCCATGCTTTCCAGCACCAGCCTGGTAGCTTTACCTGAGGACAGAAGATGGCTCTGTACTGGGATCCCTCTCCCAGACAGGGACTGGACTTACCATGCAGGTGTGCACAGGCAAAGGTAGCACTGAGAAGAGAGATCAACAGCAAAGCAACATTAGACTTAAAACCTTAGTGCTTGTCCCCTCATTGCTCATGCACTTAGCTCTTCCCCTCAGTGCATGAGCAATCTAGTCAGGTGAATGTTTCAGACAGTCCTATCTCCTATGTCAAATGTTTTCCCATATTGGAGTTGACCCTGCATAATGCACTCAAATTTGTGATTCATAAGCAGAAACAGCAGTCACAAGGGTATCCTTCACAGAACACTCCTGCTATTACACACCTGCCCTGACAAATCCAAAAACCTGATTATGTGATCAGACATTGCAAATACAAAACAGTTCAACACAGATCATCCCAAGCACACATGAAACAAGCAATAAATAAGAAAAGCCAGCTGATACAGTAGGCCTAGAATAGCCCTATGACAAAGAAATGGCTTTCTAAAAGCCTTTACAAGGTCTGCACAGACTGTAAATGTTCAGTATAAAAATAAACAAAACAGATATTAAAATATGACACAGTAAAACTTTCACTAGGGAGGCCCAGGTAACAAACACCAGCTGTACCCCCCTCTGTGCATGTAGGCTGAAAATTGGAGCCATGGCATTAACCACTTTCTGATCAAACAAATGATTTGAGTTGACCTGAAACAAAACTTTGTTTGACATAAAATAGCTTAAGGCTTTACTCCTTTCATTTCAGTCTGGCAACTGAATTTATAATCCTCATTGGGAAACAAAACATTCAAATGTTTTGGTTGAGATTTTAAATCCAAACTGTCTGTGTACCAGGAGAGTTAAAAGTCAGTGGCTTTTAGCCATGAAGTCTGCAGAGATGACATATCAAAGAATTACTCATTTATGGTTGAAACAATGTCAACTGCCATTAAAAAGAGGCTGACATTCCCCCTTTTCCCATCTTTGATATGTTTTATCTTGGTACAAATAATTTTGCTTGTGAATCAAATAATTCCAGATCACCGGAGCCTGTTACCAAAACTTAGAAGTGGGAGTAGCTTTTCTTCATCTGCAACAAGGGAGAGACAACAACAATATCATCAGAATCATCTGAGTGAGCTTCATCCACAGGCAGGGAGGGAACAGGCTGTGACTGCCTCTCCAAGGACCTGCCTGAAATAATTACAGAGGAAACAAGGTCATCAATAAACAACATTGACAAAAACAAGCCCTGGTGGGAAGTGATATTCTCTGAGCCATTACGTTTCCAGACTTACCTACAGCTATGGATAACTGATCTATCTTTTTCAGCACAGAACTATTCTTTGATGAACCAGCACTCATGGCAAGTGGTGAGCTGACAGACTGACCACATGGGATTTGTCTTACTGCCTTTCAATCTCTTGCAAGGGGTTACACACCACCAAATGAGTCACCAAGTACAGCTCTTTGTTAGACACTGTAGTGACAGGACAAGGAGTAATGGGGATAAATTGAAAGAGGCTAATTTAGGCTAGATATTAGGCAGAAGTTTTCTCTGTGAGGATGGTGAGACACTGGCACAGGTTGCCCAGGGAGGCTGTGGCTGCCCCAACCCTGGCAGTGTTCACAGCCAGGTTGGCTAAAGCCTTGAGCAACCTGCTCTGGTGGGAGGTGTCCCTGCCCAGGGCAGGGGGCTGGGGCTGGATGATCTCCAAGGTCCACTCCAACCTCTTAACATACTATGGTCTTCTGGTTAAGTAAAGCAATTCAATACTGAAGCAATTGCAGGTTATAAAAACAAATATTTAGTTCATGGCCAGAAAAGGAAAAATTGAGCCAAGCTGAAGCTAAGCACAAAGGTCACACTGAGAACCTGAGTCAGATCTAGATGGACAAAGGGAAAAGAGATCCAAAAAGAGACAGAAGCTCTCAGCCACTGTACTTCATCCTTATACCTACCTGCAATACATCAAAATTACCATTCCTATGCTGTAATACCATAATGTCAATAAAAACAACGACCACATCATGAGAGGTTTTTCCTTTAGTTTTCTATTTTGCTTCTTTGCCACTTTTCTGGATGTTTGTTTCTATTCATCTCATCCATTCCAAAGCTGGAAGAAACATTCAGGGTGTGAACAGATAGAGCCCTAATGATCCCAGAAAATACTGGAAAATCAGAGGGATAAAACCAACACCTAACAAGTTCCTGACACCTGAAGAGCAGAACCAGCAGTTTATATCCCCTCTGCAAGAGATCCATGAACTAAATGATGACTGCTATTAATACCTTTTAGCACAATATCCTCCCCTCAGCTATTAATACCTCCTAACACTATATTCTCCCCTCAGCTCCACTGATTTTTCAGTTTCAAATATAAACTCTCTGAAAAGACTTTCCCAGAGAAGAAAACAAATCAAAACAACTTGTGGTAGAGAGAGGAAACAGGCAAGAAGCCACACACAGATTATCACCTGGGGGGAACAGACATGCCATGGGGCCTGTGCTGAAGAGATTCCTGACACAGGAAAAAAACTTCCTGGTATGGAAGAGCAGGGATAGACAGCAACTGGAATGTGGAATAGAGAAAGGGAACCACAAGTGGCCCAGAAATAGAAAAAGAGTGACAGACAGAGGGCCTGTGAATGGCAAGGAAGAATGCAGGGAGGCCTTTACCTTGGCCTCAACCTACAGAAGCAAAGAAACACATGACTCTATAGTTAAGTGAATTTTTTCTCTGCATCAGTCAACACAAAATGTCAGAATTTTTCAGGAAGATTTATGAGAATAGCACTGGTGATATGGAGGAGCAAAGGGAACTCCCAAAAGCAGAAGTGATAACCAGAAGAAGCAACTACAACAATAAACATATTATACATGAAACAGCTCAGTATTATCCAAATCACTCTCAATTATATCCTGCTCTTGATGTGTGAGATTTTCTTGTGCTCATCTTCATTTTAATGTACTTCAGAGACAACTTTATCTTGGTGCTTATGGAGGGTAAGTATTGATTAGAGTTCAGGGTTGTATGCAAATTCATTTTGGTTTCAGAAAAGCCTCAAATGAAGTGAACAGTTGCAGTCAGAGTGGCCAGGAATGTGCAGAGAGAAATCCTGCCCTTCATCAGGATTGCTGTGCATGTACAGAACATTCTTCCTGCCTGTCAGTCCCCTGACAGAACGAAACGAAACAGCAGGTTTCACAGACTGAATAGTTAATATCTGTTCCATTTCATGGGAAACAGCAGAAATGGCTTTATAAAATCTCCAAGCACTGTTCACATGCTGAAGACAAGCAAAGCAACACTGAATGCTACACTGAACTTCTTTTAATTAATTTTTTATTTTAGAAAACAGACTTCTAACCTGATGCAAACAATGAAGTCCAAGTCAGCAGTGCTAAACCAGGATTACATACATTCATTCTAGCAGATACATAAGGTTTTTAAAAACATATTTTCAATCTTCTCCATTCCTCTCAAAATAATGCCCAAAGGGTTGAAATTATATATATACATTCACTCATAGTTTAAGATCATTCTAAGACCTAGAGGTCAGGAAATGCAAGTCTGGACTTGGGACAAATGAAGCAAGAGTTTGTTCAGCAGCTGCATGATTTAAAGCTAAAAGAATTTGATTGCTTTAAATCACTCAGCTCCTCAACAAGCTCCTTGTCCCATGTACTTTCCAAGCTGCAGGATGACCCCTGAAGCCCCTATCTACCAGCAAACCCCAATTTTGCCAGGGGACTTTTATATCAGTCATGAGCTAGGAATGGCAGAAGGTGGACTTCAAGTTAACTTTAGTTTAAACTACATGAATGCACATAGCAAACAACCTGTATAACCAAACAGATCACCAAGGGGTCACATTTCTTCAGAGAAGTGACATTTACACCAGAATGTTCTCCTTCCTTTAGCAAGTTTTTCCCAATTAACAGTATCATAGTATGTTAAGAGGTTGGAATGGACCTTATAGACCACCTAGTCTCAACCCCCTGCCATGAGCAGGGACACCTCCCACCAGAGCAGGTTGCTCAAGGCTTTAGCCAACCTGGCTGTGAACACTGCCAGGGCTGGGGCAGCCACAGCCTCCCTGGGCAACCTGTGCCAGTGTCTCACCACCCTCACAGCAAAAGCTTCTTCCTAATATGTAATCTAAAGTTCCCTCCTTCAGTTTTATCCATTACCTCTTGTCCTGTCACTGCAGTTCAATTTGACTTTTGGGAGAGTTTGGTTAAATGCTCCAATGCACCAGGACCTAATACTTCAGAGAGCTTAGTCCAAGATGGTCTGTTGGTCAGTTGTGCAGTTAGAAGACACATCCAGTATGTCTCTCCACAAGTGAGCTGGATATGTTCTATCCTCATCCCAGATTTTGAAAATATCTCTCATATTCATCAAATCAGCAGTAAATATAACCTGCTTTGCTCCAAATCTCTCTTTTTTGATATTCACCAGTAAGGGACTGCAAGGCAGAAGTTTGAAAGCTTATGGTTTCCTCTGTGTCTCTTTCAGTATAAACCATTCCAGAACTTTTTCACTCATCAATTTGTCATCATAATCTGTAATAAAACTTAGGTTTGGAGACTTCATAGCTAGACAATGACTGTGCTCTGTTGGTATTCATACTACTGCATTTACAGGACTAGTTCATCTTACAGCCTTCTTTGGGCCTTAGAAGCACTGAGCATGTTCAAGTGATTCTTTCTGCCTGGGTAGAATTTCACAACTGATTTACTCTGGGTTTAGACTGAGCATGCCAGTAATGACTACTGCAGTAGAGCTCAGGCAAAACAAGGTGCTGCAGCATTTTTTTTTCCTGGATACTGTCACTAGACAAAATTGAAATCACTCAAAAATCAAACATCTTCAGAAGAAAGTACTGCTTACTCCTTTCACAAAGCAGAATGTGCCTCTGAATATGGAACACAGCAGAATTTTTTAAACACATTTTTTTCCCTGAAGTGTAACCTCTGTTTTCACAACCCCTGCAAATCTGGCTTATTCCCCATCTCCTATCTTGGAGAAACAGCCTCACTGCTTACAGCAGTTTCTGTTTCTGAGCTAGTCTGCAGGGACTGTCAGCTTTTCATTGACAAAAAACAAGTCAATGTTTCTCAGGTCACACTCAAAGTTGCTCTTTTTTTCCCCACTACTGGTCTACAAAAGCCTTAAATGTGGATAGAACCAACCTTTTAAAATTTGGTTTTAACTCCTTTGAAGCTGCAAGTCTAAGGGTGTCTTATCTGCAGCATTGTCTTGCCTTTCCCACTCAGTGCTTCTAATCTAACATCCTCCTAAAAGCCTCTTTGGCTTTAACTCTATCTTCTCACAAACAGCATGAAAGAATTCAAGAAGAAAACCAAATGGCATAAAAGCCATTAAAAAAAAAGACACATTTCCTCAGTTTGTTTTACAGTAGTACAAGTTGGCAATGTCATCTAGGACTTCATTTTTCCCCTTACTGCACAACTGCTGAAAAACGTGGCTGCCTAGTATGGTTGTTTTTACCAGATGTCTGTGCTCTTCACAAACTAACTCAGGATGATGAAAACATTCTCAACTTGTCTATGGCTAAGAGCCCAAAAGCACAGTGGAAAGTACCAAACTACAGCTACAGGACTGGGAAGGCTGAAAAGGAAGTAGAGAGGCAATAGAGGGGAACACCATGTTCCTTGAGTAATTACCACTTACACCAGAGAGACCTTCCAAAGCACAGTTGTGACAAAAAGACAAAGCACCGTGAGGAAGCTGATACTGCCACTGTCAGAGCTTTTCTCCTTGGTGTAAGGAACTGCACGTGCCAGGATGAGTGACAGGCCATCAAATGGAGCCACACACACCGTACAAGTGTGCGTTTGCACGTGTGCGTGCACGTGCACATGTTCTCTGTCAAACTGTGTGTGCACCCACTCAAAACAGACATCCTTCTGAACACAGGGAAATGAGATTACCAGGAAGAGATGACATGAAGATTGAAGGAAGTCTCTGGAGAGCTGCTGGGCCTGCTTTCTTCTCTGTACTGCAAACGGCAGAATCTGTTTTCTCACTCAGTGCACTGGACACAGAAGGTCTGCAAAGAGACACACTCATAGCATGAGGCACAGAACAGTGTCTGCAGTCTGTCTTCAGAGGGTGTGCTGAGAAGTTTCTTGTGTGCTGCCCTCCAAGAGACAAAGCTCATCACCTGCAGAAGTGACCCCAAACACCAAAGTGAGGTGACAGCTATGTAACATTCCTGTAACCATGGCAGCCAATATAAAAAACTTTCAAAGTAGTAAACCCTGGAGAGAAAGGAAGTATTTTTCAAGACAGAGTCACCATAAACTGAAGCTATAAGCAAATCAGTGCACTCTGCCTGAGCTAAGTCTTTTGATGGTGTTTCAGCTTAACCCTTAACCTGTACGTGTCAGGGCTCCAGATTCACACATTAAGAAGGTGCACTAGACACAGGAATTTTTTTTCCCAAAGAGTAATTATTTTACTTTACTTTTACTCACTGCTATGGAAGACAACATGCAGCAGGATATGGGAAGACTTTTGCTGCCACAAAACTCCTTTTGGTTGCATACCCTTTGGATTTTCTCAGGAGCAAGTTCTCCCTTGTGTTTGTTGTAACACTGGCCTTGTTCTCATTCTCTGCTAAGGAACCCACACTAAAATTCTATTAAAAAACTACTCTCCTGCAATAAAAACAACGTTGCTACTGCAAGTTGCAGAAATATCTGCTCCTCACTTACCTCTCCTCAAGCAGTTCTGTACGTGCTAAGTGAGCCCTGAAAATGGACTGGATGAATGTGACAATCTCATCTCGCTCCTTGCAATCAGAAGACAAGCTCGAGGAGTCTGACATGGAAGACACACAGGAGGTCTGCAAAGCAATCAGATTAAAGAAAACTGACCTTTCAGATTGCACAGAAGCTTGACAAAACCTTTCACAATCTTACTCCTGATTGTGCAAGTGGCAGCAGAACAAACATTCCCATCTTTTGGTCTGCAGTCTTTAAGGTTCTGTAAGACTAAATCAGCAGGCAATGCAAATCTTTGAAGCATCAGCATTCAATTAATGAAAGAGCAAACACCTGCAAGGAAAATTCATTTATTTTCCAGGAAGGAAACCTTTTGAAGATGAAGGAGGTAAGACATCCTTCTTAATGGGTCTATCTTCTGCGTGTGCTAAGCAAAGTATTGAGTCCTACTACCTTGGGCCAGTTTGCTGAACTGAAAGAGCATATAAAGTGCAACCAGATGGACAACCTGGATGTAGAATTACAAGTGAACTTTAGCCTGCTAAAGGTCCAAAGGATGCTTATTTAACTTGGCAAATGATTTACAGAAACTGAATATTTAATTGGTAATGCCATATTTGCATATTCAAAACTAAGTAATCCGCAATGAGTTGGACATGACAGAGGACACTGCAAGTCTTTGGTTGAGCACATCACATCAAGACTCTTTTATTTTTCAGTCCAATCAAAGATGCTTTCCAGGTTCTTACTTCTGAACATCAGTGAAAAAAAGTTTATCTATTACTAGAAAGACTCAGTAGTGAATCCTTGAGAGCAGGTACAGTTTTCAATAAAACTCTGAATTAAAGAGTTAAAAGAAAGAACCAGAAAAAAAAGAGACTTAGTTACAGTCCAGACCACTGAGGAATTAAAACTTTACATCTAACAAAAAGTGTGAACTAGAGAAGGTGGAAAGGGAGGCCAGGGAATACGCTCAGTATCTTTCTGGAATTACAGTGGTGCTGCCAACCAGCACATTAAAACAACATCACCAGGTGACTCAGAGAATTAAGCCTGGAAGTACAGCCCTTACACTGCAAGCTAAACACAGTGGGATGTCAGGATACTCATTTGCCCCTGCAGTTACCTGGTTGTGAGGTTTTGCATCATGCAGCCTGTTATTCTGGAACAGTTTCTGTCGAGCTAAATGTCCTCTGAAAGCTGCCTGAAGCACAACAACTGCCTGGTGTGGAGAGAAGGAGGTGTTAGCTTCTGGAAAAGATAACCCACAGACATACATCTCCAGGGTTTAAATTCCACCTGGGAGGTATTCAGGATTAATCATATCAAATGTAGTTAAGTTCTAGCTACCAACACCAGCCTGGTATTTCACCAATAGAGCAACATGCTCCCATTCCCACACTGGATTTTGGCCTCCCAGCAGGCTCTGGGATGCTCTAGTACAAGCAGAATTCAAGCCAAGCCTCGCAGACCATTGTGGTAGTTACGCTGATCCTCGGTCTTTCCTCTCCACTCAGGGATTTTACTGGATTGTAATCAACCAAAAGTATTTAGATGTAAAGCAGAATGTCTGTGTCACATGGTGAGAATTAGCCCTAATTCCTGAAAGTGGATTTTTAATGTTCTGGAAGAAACACAGCCAAGATATTACATTGTGCTGTTTGAAAAAAACCCAAACAAAACAGTTTAATCAAAACCTTTGAGCAAAACATTTATCAAAAAGTGACTTTGTCTGACAAACTTCTCAATCTCCCCATAATCCTCAGAGACATTTCTCCTTAGCAAAAGCTTCAGATCCAACTTCAAATATTTCTCAAGACTCATCTTAGTGAAAATTAAAGTATCATTAGAATTATCTAACTCGGAAAAACTTTCCTGTTCCATGTTTTCAGAGCATTCATCTTGCAGAAGGTACCAAGTACAGAGAACATGAGAGCAAGAGGGGAACACTTTGACAAGATACATGAAACAACATCACGATGTCAGAAGGAAGATGATGAAACAGCCTGAAGAACAAACATGATCTTGGTACAATTAATATTATAATAAACCATCTTTAAGGATAAAAAAAGTTGCTTGCTTGTGCTTTGTTTTGAATTAAATCTGGTTTACTGTTTTGTTGGGTGTCATAAACACTCACCTCATCCAGAGCAATTTCTTCCTTCTGAAATGAAAAAGGTCTATGTGAAAACCTAATAAAGACATTCCAACAGTAAAAACACCCTTGTCCCACCTCCCCCTGAAAACAAACAGCAAACTTAAGGAAAAAAAAATCTTCTAGTCTTTTCAGATGTGTGGATAGATGCCAAAACAAGAGTAAGATTCAGAGGGGATGTTCTTGCTGTTCCCTGATAGGAGAATCTCACCTTGTTTTTGTACATCTTCCAGTGTCTCTGGATGATTTTGGCTGCTTGTTCTTCCCTGTGATCTTCTTTGCCTTTATCTGTGGAGCCTGGTGAAGGCTGCGAAGGAAAATCTTTAGGTTAGTACAGTAAAGACACAAAGCTCTGAGGGAAACAGGTTACTAATGACTCAGGAAAACCAGCACCAGAGCTCATCCTGCCTGCAGGGCAGACGGAAGTTCAAGAGGAAACTCTTGGTTGTGAATCCTGCTCATGTTCAAACTCATCAGCTAATGACTGTTAGAGTGAAACACATTCCTCTCCCCCTTTTTGCCCTTAGCAGAACGTGGGAATGGCAAAGTTTTCATTCACACATACTCCAATGTTTCTCTGCATTGCTAAGGCTCTGCTAACCCTCTGCTTCCATGATCAGAAATGGTTTGTATGTTAGCAACAGACCCAACATCAGGTTACCTAATTTACCAGTTCTTTTCCAGGAAAGACAAGTCTTAATTAACCAGGGAGTTCTCTAATTTCTCATCCTGGCAACTATGGCTCCATAATCATCTGTTTAAGCTCACTGATTAGTTGCTCATGATACAACACTGACAAAACAGTGTAAATTGGCATAACCCTACTCTTCTGTCTTGAAGAAATTAATTAGAGGAAAAAGAAAAAGCAAGAACAAAACAAGATTCTGTTCCAGTTGTTTCCTCTGAGGTGTGGTTGCATATTCCACCTCTCACCATCTGATCCTTTTGATCCCTGATTATCCTACACCAATTGTCATAGCTCACTTGCCCAAAAAAAAAAGTTAACAGCAAGTTTAGAAGACTAATTTAATTTGTTGGTGTAAAATTTTACGTAGAGGAACAAGAGATTTTATAGACTGAAAAAACCTCTCCTGATTCTGTGAAAAGGGTTTATTTATAACCTAAAAAAAGGCAAGTTACAGGCTTAAGTTTAGCAAATGGATCATGTCATATTAAAAATGACAACCTACTATTAAAATGAAAAATTGGTAGGAACTTAGTGATAATTACAAATAATGGGAACATTTCAATAAGTGGATGGTTACTGGCCAAGAATATATATAGTCTGCAGAGGGAAAAAGGAGCTGTTTGTTGGCTGTTTTTAGAGACTGAAGTTATTTGGTATTCAAAACATTCTCTAGCCTATAGCACATGAAAAAGAATCTACAGAATTGCACAGTATATCAAAACTCAAAGCCTCTTAAGCTAGTGGACATTTTTATTCACACTTTTACTATGTGTATATCAGGGTCTATTTATTTTTAAGTGCAACCAAAATCCCCAGGAATAATTTCCAACTAGTATTTAGTGAATGAGATGAACATGACCACAGAGCTCTGAGAGCAGCTCTGGCAGTGCCCATCCATCTCTACTTGGCCACATCCCACACCTGGCAGAGGGACAGAAGATTGCAAAGACATCAAGTTCAGTCATATTTCACAGAACAACCAACTGATTACAAAGCCACGTTTAAGACTGTCCAGGATTAACAGATGCACAAATAGATTTATTAGATATGGGAAAATCCAGACAGAAGAGGTTATGGATAACTCAACTCTAGAAAAACTTCAGTTCAAAAGGGATAAGAGTTTATTTTATTGCATTGACATCTTCCTTAATTCTTCACTCAAATATGAATTAAAACCCCCTCAATTTTCATGATTACTGCTCTACAGCCTGTAAACCTTCCCGTGAGAGGGTACCTCACTTCCATCCAAACAGAAAAGCAAATTATTATGTTCTGACTGGACAGCACATGTGCCCTGAGAATGACCTGAGCAGCATAAAAATCACTGAGAAGGGTTTTTTGTCTTTTGCCAGTGAGCACTCACCTGTGTCTCTAGCCTGTAGCTGTCAACTCCTACAAGGCCTCCCTCCCTCTACAAAACTGAAGTTAGCTAATGGGTTTAGATGTTATAAGAAGACACAAGCAAAACTGCAAATGGGTTGCTGTCTTTTCTTATTTTTAAAGTATGAGGAAAACCCCCAAAAACTTAAAAGTTGAAGCTTTTTGCAACATTACACTGAACAAGAGCAAAAGCACTGGTGAGGCAGAGAATCACTAAGAGAACAGCTTCAAAAAAACCCCCAAGTTGCAGTGGTAATTATTCAAACAACTTAGCAACAAATGTTGGGGACCAGCCATCATTCAGAATCTCTAAGATTTAATGCCTCTCTGAAAAGAAAACACCAGCAGCTATTGAGACTATCAGTTCAATTTGAAATACTTGTTAGATGCAAGGATGAAAAAAACCCCAAACCACAAAAAACCCATATGTCTGTACCTTATTGAGCTTTTCCACTGTATCTTCTCCCATTTGTCTTTTCTCTTCTTCCATTTTGGACTCCAGTTTCCACCCTACATTCCAGCTTCTGGATTTCCTCACTATAGCTGGAAAAGGAAAGATACTTATAGCTAGGTATTTTCTGTTGCTTCTGCTTTGAAAATACTGAAACTATTTCATAACATTTGGTTGCTTTTGGGTTTGGGGTTTTTTTCTTAAGACTAAAGTGGGAAATTGTTCAGGATAACAAGATCCCTATGCTCATAGCAACAGACAGGTATCAGCAGCTCTCAGTTCCTCACTATAGCTGGAAAAGGAAAGATACTTATAGCTAGGTATTTTCTGTTGCTTCTGCTTTGAAAATACTGAAACTATTTCATAACATTTGGTTGCTTTTGGGTTTGGGGTTTTTTTCTTAAGACTAAAGTGGGAAATTGTTCAGGATAACAAGATCCCTATGCTCATAGCAACAGACAGGTATCAGCAGCTCTCAGGTTGTGATAGCACAGCCTTAGGTTAAAATTATCAAGGTTACAGAGGTACCCTTGATACTATTAATACTGCATCCAGATCTGCTACTGTTTTGTATTTGTCAGTCAAAGTCTTTTCTTACAGAACAATACTGAAGTCACTCTTTTTTGCCACCCTTGCACAGGATTATTACCAACAGTTACACAGAACACATGCAGTAACTGGGATGACACACTGGCAGTGGTCTAGGAGCACAGGCTAAGGTAAAGATACTACAATTTTTCCTTAGGGAAAAAATGTCTGAGCCCAACACAGCTTTTTCCATTTCTCTTATTCATTTTATGATCATTTAATTCTTACTTTTACTACACTACTCAGCCTTCCACCTCCTCTGAAACCACTCTATAGAATTCTTCCCCTAGTAACTTACTCTATTCCTCCAAACCAGTTCTGCTTAAAAGAATTCCCAGCTTCCTGCAGCTCAGATGAGCTCCTATGGATTTTGAGACACTTCAAAAAAGAATTATACTTTAATAGATTTCTTTTTGGCTTTGAAAGGATCTATTAATACAGAGTGTGATACCTTAATGTCTGCTCTTCTGGACTCTTTTCTTCCACCTTATTCTTCCACTTCTGCAGCTCCAGCTCCACTTCAGCCTTAGCCTGCAGTAACTGTTTGATATCTAATCTACAAAGATATAAGGAAATCTAAGTATACTTAAAACCTTCATACTTCAACAAAGCAGGTTTTTTTTTTGTTTAAACTTCTAAATAATTAGGTTTTCTCAAATTTGTTGAGTAACTAAATGTTTAATTTTCCATTTTAAACAAAACCTGAGCACACACTGCTCAGAAGCAAAAGGCCTTTTCACATGCTCTCGCTGTGCATCTTTGCTCAGAGGTGAGTGGACACAGGAGACAGAGAGTGGCTTAGCAACACCACCTACATATGTGCACATCTCTGCTCAGGATCAGATTAACCTCTCTGCCCTGATACAGCAAACAAGCAAGACCAACTGCAAATCAGTTGCTTACTGGGGAGAAAAGAAACCACAGTGCATCACATGGCAGAAGCAGTTTAAGTGGACAAAGTGGCAGATCAGGGCCTACAGGGGAGTCAGAGAGGGACTCTGTTAGGAGCTGCAGTGTCAGGACAAGGGGTAACGAGATCAAGTTGAAGGAGTGGAAATTTAGGTTAGATCTTAGGCAGATGTTTTCCCTGTGAGGGTGGTGAGACACTGTCCCAGGCTGCCCAGGGAGGCTGTGGCTGCCCCAACCCTGGCAGTGTTCACAGCCAGGTTGGATGAGCCTTGAGCAACCTGCTCTGGTGGGAGGTGTCCCTGCCCAGGGCAGGGGGTTGGGGCTGGATGATCGCTAAGCTCCATTCCAACTCCTTAAAATTCTATGATTCTATGAAATCATGTTGAAAAACCCACAAATTTTTACAGCAAAATACTGATAAGAAGGAGCTGCACAAAGAGACGCATAACCCTCCAATGGGTCTTCAGTGCGATTGGCAGAAAAATAAGCCTTGAAAAATGTGTTAGAAACAAGCAGAAATTCTCAGTTTTCATCCTCTGACCTTTCTTTCTGCAACGTAACTCTACAACAAGAGTAGGATTAGAAGAAGCTTTTGAAACAAAAGCTGAAGGGAGCCTCAAAATTCATTTTCTTGCTGAAAATGTGAAGTATTTATTACATCACTTCATACCATGATAGGAAATAATGAAATAATTCACACCTACAAAAGAACATCCCAGACAAGAGTCACACTTACTCTTTACTAAGCAGGAGGTTTTGAAGTGCTTTCCTATCACTCTTTAGCTTCTTCACTTGCCTTTGGAGGCGACAACATTCCTCAACATGGTCTACCTGTTGGGAGCCTGAATGATCCAGGTGCACAGAAGGTGAAGATGGCACAGCAGGGAACTGTGATGACTCACTATCTGCTGATGACACCCTGGTGCTCTCCATGGCACATACTTTCTAAGCAGGGTAAATTGACATGGAAAATACAAAAGGAAAATTCAATATAGTATAAAATGACTTTATTTAGGCCATGAGAAAAGATCAAATGGAAGTTAATTCTAAAATGTGCAGCTATATATGGCAAGTATGATAAAAGGGAACAGGGAGGAAGGGCACATGCTACAGACATCAGATGACATGGATGAGGCAGAATGCACAAGGGTACATGGAAGGATGACATGCCAAGAGCACAAGGCAGTGGTTCTGCATTCTCTGTTCCAAGACAGGTAAGGCCACATGATGATGATCACTTACTTTTTCTAGCTCTGAAATCTTCCTCACCAGCCTCTGTTTGCTCCACTCACTGTAAGCTAAACACAATTACAAAGCTTTAAACATGAAACTACATCAGTGGGTCAACACTGTTCTTGCTTTTTGAAACTTTTGTCCATAAAGATCATCTAAAGACCTCTGAATGTCAACTTTAAAATATCTGACTCGATATAAACCCATTCAATCAATATAAAAAGAAATACATATAAATCGTTCGTATTTATCAGTTTTTAATCACTTTAGAACTTTCCAATAAAATGTAAAGTCCTCAAGTCATTCCAGTCCAGAATTCTCAGGGAGAATAAGAAAGGAAAGCCAGGTCTGACTGGAACAGTAGATCTAAAGAGATTCCTGTATGAAAGGTCTCATTTCATAGCTTCAAAGTATGTTAGGGTGTTGGAAAGGACCTTAGAGATCATCCAGCCCCAACCCCCTGCCCTGGGCAGGGACACCTCCCACCAGAGCAGGTTGCTCAAGGCTTCATCCAACCTGGCTGTGAACACTGCCAGGGTTAGGGCAGCCACAGCCTCCCTGGGCAACCATTCCAACCTTTGTCCCTCTTAAATCTTCACCTTTCCAACAGCACCCTTATTTCCATCAGTGTAGGTCCTACTCTCCAACATCTTTCATATGGACCTCAATCCCTTGTTCCATGTTCCCCAACTTTTCAGTACATACTTTTTGTTTTACCGGAAGGAGAACTGCTGAGCACATGATCCAGATCTTCCTTCAGTCTCCGATTCTCAGTCTGCAATTCCTTGATGTTCCTGGACAGTCTCAGGACAGCAGAATTCAGTGCCTTGAGCCGTTTTTGGGTGTCCCTGCCCTCTGCACTTGGAAATGGGGTCAAAAGCAGAAAGTTAACTTAAAAGCAGAGAACAAAGGAGGAGCAGCCTTTGTTCTTTATTGCTATGAGAAAATTCTTTAAAACTTACTTCTGGAAACAAAGGTCTGAAGTAATTCATGGACCTAATTTTGGGTAAGTGCCACTGTCAGTGACACTCACAAAATAGTTTGTGAAGGAACCTTACATCTCATCCACTGGAATAATGACAAGGTAAAGAGGAATAGAGCCTAGAGTGAGCATATCAGAGCGAAAAAGCTGGATTTTATCTCCTTTTTTAGAAATTGAAAGGAAATGAAGCCATAAAAACAAACAGATAAGGCTGTCCAGATGTTGTGGATTACTATTCACACAGCTGTCCCAGGCAGGAGGAAAAAAAAGAGCCAAAACCAAAACATAACACACCACCAAAACCAGGCAGTGACAGAAATTAGAGAAATCATATCCATACCACCAGTATTTTAGGCTCATCAAAACCTAAATGAAAGAATTTCAGACCATTTTGAGAACTTGAAAGGCTGCCTAGCTTCCAGCTATAAATGGATACTACAGCCTGACATAAATAATCATACTGCAGCATTAGCACTAGGGGAGCTAAATGCCATTCACTTCAGCCAGAAATGATGTAGACAAGCATCATGAAACAAACACTCTCCCACAACTCTTCCGGTGTGCCACAGTCCTGACCTTCAACATCATTTATTATTTCAGTGCTCAGCCTCTCAAGCAGAGACTGACAGTCACACAATGGAGAGAGACTGCCTTGACCACTGCTTTTTGAAGCTACGAATAAATGAGGACAAGGGGTGACCTGATGACTCATTTTCACCTGTAAATAAATGAGGTGTGATGGCTTACAGCCTCCAGAGGTTGGGCACTGCATGCCTGAGCCAAGAGAGCATTATTTTTTTATAACAGTGACAAAACAAATTGCAGTTTTCAATCCACAAGCAACAGTGAATTAGGGAAACATAAGCAATATCCATAATGACCTTAAAGAGTTCTCCTGTTTCTATCAATCTATATAATCACACCCAACATGAAGACAGTACTTAACACTAAGAGGTCAAGCACATTTTGAAGTGGTGTGGTAACAAATTTTTCTATCCCCTGAGACAGTCTTACCTCTTCTCAGGTCACTTGCCTTGATGCTTTTAATTTGCTCTTACTGGAGGTTTGTCTTCTACCTTTGTGCTTTTATCTTTATTTCCTCTATGGCCCATTCACCTTCACACACCTGCACACCAGTGACAAGCACCAGTACAAGCTTCTCTGACAGTTCTTGGTGGTGCTACTCATGGATATCTCACAAAAGCTACTCTGACTTGCAGACCTGTCTCTCTGTACCTCAGGAAAATAATGTTTACTCCAAAAATACTTTCTTTGCAGCATAAACCCTAGAGCAAGATGCAGAACTGACTCAAGAGTAAAATGCCAAACATGCAGTGAGTTTGTTTCAATCACCAGTGATGCCAGAATAGGTGTGATTATGGGGGAAGATGGATTTTATTTAAGAGAGATAAATTTTCAGAGCTATCATGTGCTTTTTAAATAGCTCTAGTATTTTTCCACATCCACAAAATGATCTACCTACAAGAAAAAAAACGTGACTAAGACATGTGCCAAGGCTGTGGAGCCAACCAAAGCAGCACCAAAAAGCAAGTCCAGCAATCTAAATAACAAACTATTCCCATGCAGTAGTTTTCTATCAGTCAAAGGAGTACACAAATAATATATCAAACACATACACACAAGCATTTGCCACGAAAGAATTAAACATACTTTTTCCTCATAGTCTCAGACTTTGCCAGGAGGAGCTGGAGACGATGGACCTGTGGAACACAGATTCCATTAAGGAGCGAGCTGTGGAAGCTGACATTGCTAATGCAACACATTTGTCCATTAGGTGAAAACTAGAACAAGATTCTTTGGGTAGTAGCAGAGGTAATGATGCCATCACTCAATATCAGGCTTCTGTTACATTGGTTTTCATCTAGACATTACATTATGGATGCATTTTAATTTCTTTATTTCCCTTTCTGTTTAATACACTCAACTTAGTGAAGAAAAACATTTTTTCAGTACAGTTGGAGCTATGAGACTATCTATGAAAATCTGATTCCAATGGCAGGTGCAGCTAAGCTGTAAGAAACCTGTCTAAAGCATTTCATTTATCCTACAACTTCACAGCTTCCTCTCCTCCATTCAGGACCTGCCAGACATACCTCTTCGTAGTAGGTTTCCATAGCTAACCTCACTTCTTCCAAATTATTGGTCTTCACATCTGCCTGGAAGTTGCTGAAAATAGAACAACACAAAAAGAATCCAGTCAGAGCAGCAAAGACACTGCAGCACCTGTTGGTTCACAGTTTCTGAGTGGGTGGTTTATAACTGCTAATACGTTCTCAGAGTTTATTTAAATGTCTTAAAGAACAGAAGAACACATGAAAAACAACATGGATTTCAAATTCTTTCTATGAGCTCGTTCAAAAGAAGCCTCTACCCCAAACCTCCCTCAAAGTCATACTCAATAGTGTCGTCTTTCTCCTTGCACTGCTGTTCAAGCTTGAGGATCTTCTGCTTTAATCCACCGACCACCTATGCAAAGAATAAAGAGTTCATGAATCCTCCAAGAGTCCTTCATAGAAGTTCCACTTCTCCATGATCTAGACCTAACTTTATATATTTTACCTAACCAGATATACTTATTCCCACCTACTTCAGTACTTTGTAAACCATACATTGTGCAAAGATAACACTAATGAAATCAGATCCCTAACACACCTGTGGTAACATAATCAGCTTAGCAATATCTATACACAGTCACAAAAAATAAAAACAACTCTGCCTATTACTACATTCAAAGCAGCAAATAATAGGGAGAATGCTCCCTAAGCAGACTCATGACAATGCCAAAGAAGGCTCCCTAAAATAATGGTAATTCTACATCTTTGCTACTGGTTCCTTACCTGACTCTAGAGATAAAGGTTACATGATTCCTTAATTGCCTATCCTTTCTTACTTCACTTTATTTTTTTAGTAGTGTTTCATCTTGGCAAGAAGAAAAAAGGAAAAATTAAAGCCAAAGGCAATGAAGACACAATTACCCATCCATTATCAGTCTTCTTTTCTGACAAAGCTCGTGCCAGCTCAGAGCCCTGCAAGAGATGACAGAAAGAGCAAGTGACCAACACTGCTGCTTTATTCTACTGCCAAGCTCTTGTCTCAAAATTTTCTAGCCTATTCAACTTCACAGTCACTTCATAGTCCACAGCTGAAGCTCTGAAGTCCTATGCTCATTGTCTTATACTAGCACATTTCTCCCCAGATGCAGATCTGCACACAGAAAGTGACACCCCTAAGAAATTCAGTGAGACTCACTATAACCACAAATGCTTCTCAGCCTCAAGGCTGTGACAGGGCTGCTCTGCTGCTTTGTGGTCAAGTCTCAGGACTGCATGCATCAGTTACCCTGCAAGAGGTTAAATCCCTTCTGGTCTCAGAGAAAATACTCAAAGTGGGTCCCTGGAGAGACAGCATTTTCATTTACCTTCAGAAATTAAAGGGATCTTTGCTAAATGAACTTATCTGCACCACATGGCACAATGTTCCTTGGAACTGAGCTGGACTGGTGAGCTGAGATACACAAACCAGAAATGCCCTCACACCAACCAACCTCCTCTCATACTCCTGCTCATCATTCCTAGGAGTGAAGACACTACAGGCTCACGCTCTTATGCCCCACTTTTATCCCTCCAAGAAATAATCACCCTGGAAGGATCCAACAGTTGTTCAATCTGTCTATCCTTCCTATTGTTTTCCTCCTCCAGTCGACGGAGCTTCGTTTTCATCCGATCTCCCTCATTCTTCTGAGCATGTATTGTCTGAAAGAAAGGAGAAAAATCCTAAGCACAGTTCTCATTTCAGCAATAGGAACATACAGAGTTTTCCTGTGGAAAGATAAAAGGTTTACCAGAAAGGCAAGCTTACACAAAAGATCTACTACAGCCAAGACATTTGCCTAGAGGTACCCCCAGTGTTCACCATGCCCAACCCTCATCTCCATGCACTGCACTAACCTCACCTGACAAACTGTTAGTGATGGCAAATGGGTAATGGAAGGTGGGAGGGGAGGGAGGTCTGGACAAAGAAACCAAAGACAATGAACCTTTTCAGCATCCAATTTTAGTTTAGCCTTACATTATGAATGCAAAGCCTTTGGTGGATGTCCCAGTTGTAGAAACTAAAGTACTCTGGAGCATCTACAGGTGGAAGGAGCAATGCTGTGACTTTTTCTCTAAGTATCAGAGAGACTGTACCTTTTTCAGTTCTATAATTTCATCATACATATCTTCTTTTTCTTTGTAGTCAGGAGTTCCAGGAATGTAGCCTACAGAAAGGGGTATGTAAAATAAGTAGATCCCAAAGAGGTATTTTTAACTAACCAGAAATCTTACAGTGAAAGGAAAATCTTTAGAACAGCACCTTTTTTTTTTCCTCTAAAAGAAGAAGAATCAGCAAGGAAATTAATTTTAGACATGGAAGTGTTACTGCATGAAACTCATGCCAGATTTTACAGCCAATTTCTCCTCATTCCTTCTCTTCTCTGTCTGCTATATTAAAACATCCATCTCAAGAAAGACAGAAACTTCACAGACTTCAGCCTTCTCATCCCAACACATCCATTATTTACAAGAGATTTTTAAAAGATGTCCAGAATACATTTTTCTATTTATGACTGATGTGTACAAGTCTATCATCTTTTAAAATTACCAGAAACTGTGTACTACCAGTAAGAGCAAAGGTGTCAGTTTAAATGGAAGTGGAATTTTAAAGTTCACAGTTCTCCTTTAAGAAAAGCAGGATAAAAAGTTTTCAAGTTTGCTCTTCTCATAAAACTCATTTGATTTTAATATCACAACCACATGATAAAACACTTTCTAGAGAAGGAGTAAAAGGAGTCAATTACATGGAATTTCAGGCAGGCAGATGGTTTCTATCAATGGTTCCTAAACTATGTTTTGCAAAGTCACAATAAATTGTCTACAGCTGTCCCATTGAACCTTATTCTCTGTACGATGTTTTCAGCTGCAAATGCATGGCAATTTGCAAGAGTTCTGAAAGCTGATAGTGATTCATTGCTCCAAAAAAACTGGGACCCCCTGCCTCAACCAATTTAGAAATCTCAAGTAGCATCTCATGGATCATATTTTGACACATATGTTTTAACACAGGCTGAACTGAAATGGCTCTGGCTTTACTAAAGCTCAGATCTCAAGCAATGTGTGTTTTTACGGGGGGGGGGGGGGAAGATCATTAACTTTTATCTACCACAGCATTACAGAGTTTACCATTACTAGAAGAACGAGAATGTTTTGGCTTCTTCATTCCTAGAGCTTCCTTCAAATATTCTGGAGTGCTACTGGAAAGGTTAGTTCTAGTATGCCCCATGTCAACATCTGATTTCAGAGGATGGCTCACTCCTGCCAACAAAAATGGTACAAAAATGCAAAAATCAGGGATAATTGTGAATTCAATTTGTGGATTTATTCTAAGCAAATTCAACACAGAAAGCTCCAGATGCTGTTAATTATTCACTCTATAAATTCCAATGCTCAAGATCAGATAACTCCAACCACCCAAACAAATATCAGCAAAATGAATTCCTGTGTAGCCTTTAATCAAATACAAATCTATTTTGTAAGAGTTGATATGCTAAGCTGTGCACAACACTGAATTTTACCCAGATAACATTTCTATACTAATACCTTGTTTCAGTGATCCCGACCACATCTGCCTTGGGTTTTTTCCAGCTGCACTCTCGAAACATGCACTGCCTGTTCCTTGTGGAGACCTCCAGGCTGTGGCTTTTTTGGAATACAGTTGTGTGCTAGAGCTGTATGGAGACTCTACAGCAAAAGTAAACATCTCAGTGTTGCCTTAAAAAGCTCGAGTTCACAATCTTGTGCTTCAAAGCTCCCAGACACAGTCCTACTACTCATAAAAATAGAATTTAACAGCATACTACACACTGGCACACATGAAGGAACAAAAAACCCAGAAAACACTGTATAGGAAAAATACCATTCCTAAGAACTGAGAGGCTCAGAAAGAGGCACAGTGACAGTAACACAATTCATTGCATTCAGGAATATTGGCATGTATAGTTTGGAGAGGCATCCTTAAGATACCTGCACAGCTAAATTAATGTGGTTAATAACAACACTTTAAGGTAAAATCTTCTTTTAAACACTCACTGGAAGCCTGAAAAAGAAGGTAACTGGAAAAGTACAGTAAGAAACATAAAACCCAGGAGAAAAAGGACGAAACCCATATTAAAACTGTAGATCTAATAATAACATTGGACTTCTGAGGTCATGTGAAAAAAAAAACCAACACAACAACCACCTCAACAAATGGAACAGAGAACTGCTAAAATACACACACACAGATATCTACTGGGTGGGAGGAAGGTCCAGTAATTCCAGATTCTTTCTACACAGCACGTATCAGCATTACTCCAAAAAACAAAGAGAAAAGTTCAGAAAACTTACTAATAGAAGGTAGTTTATACTGGAGAATCAAGAATTACAACTAAACCATCAACTTCAATATTTAGCCTGTACAAGTCACACTTGGTTAGAGAACAAATCTCAGAGAGGTGAGCTCAGCACACGGCAGTGAATAATTCTGAAGAGAATAACAAGATGTTGTCTCAAGGAAATCTCCCAGTTCCTGCATCCCACGAACCCATCTTGTTTTGCAATCACAGAAACAGAAGAAAAAATTTTGGAACACTCACTTGGTGACTTTGGAGGCTTGTGAAGAATCTTCTTCTTTAACTTCTGAAAGAGAAACAGATTTTTTATGTAACTAAAATATTCAACACTTAAGATTCCATTATAAATCTCAAAACTTGCTTCAATCTCCATTTTCTATGAAAATCACTTGTTCTAAAAACAGAAAATGTTTTCTATAGAAAAGAAAAACAGCAGCATTAAGTATATGCAGATTTGGCCACAGCAACGGTCACCAGAATTAAAGTGGTGCCTACTCAAGTAGATAAATAGTTGATTCATGCTCAGAGCACTAAGACCTTCCCCATCAGTATCAAATACAAGTAGCAACAAATTCAAGATGATCCCAGAGTAGAGGCTGATCTGCAGAACTGCTGAGTTAAAGGAAAGAGATATACAATTCCATCAAAATGCTGTAAAAGGATTACTTAGGCCCACAACTTGACAGCATCACAATATTATAGCATGTTAAGGAGTTGGAATGGAGTTTAGAGACCATCCAGCCCCAACCCCCTGCCCTGGGCAGAGACACCTCCCACCAGAGCAGGTTGCTCAAGGCTCATCCAACCTGGCTGTGAACACTGCCAGGGTTGGGGCAGCCACAGCCTCCCTGGGCAACCTGTGCCAGTGTCTCACCACCCTCACAGGGAAAACTTCTTCCTAATCATCTAGTCTAGATTTCCCTCTTTCAATTTATCCCCATTACTCCTTGTCCTGTCATTGCAGTTCCTAACAAAGAGTCCTTCTCCAGCTTCCTTGTAGCCCCTTCAGATCTCCAAGGTCCATTCCAACCCCTTAATACACTATGATACTACGAAGCATCAATTCAGCCCCCAGTGCTGAGATTTTAGAAGCCAGAATTGCACCTGGAATCAGAGGAGGTTTGTGAATCAAAGTACATGCGGTAACATTGTTAGCTCCCCTCTTTGCAGGCTGCCCTGGTGAGCAGGAGGCACCTGCAGATGCAGCATGTGCAGAACACCCCAAGAGGCCTCTTGAGGCATTAATCCAAACTCACCATTTCTGTGTCTGACTCACAGGTTATCACAGACAGGCTGTCATCTCCCTGGGAAACAGAGACAGGAACTGTCACATTTGCTACTAAACAACTGGTTGTAATACAGATCCAGAAAACTTTATATATCCTTTTGCTATCATAACAAAGTTGGAGTGCAATAAATTCAAATGGTAAATGCTGTCACCACATCCTCTGTCTGTTGCTCAGATATCAAATGAGTGAGACAGGAGTTTTAAGATAAAAATAAGCCATTTGTCAAAAATGCTGAAGCCACTGCGAGATGATTGAGTTCTTGTCACAAAAAGCAGCACCATTTGCTCTAACACAAATGGTCTTGTGAGGTTGTGCAAGTCATTTCAGTCATGAACCATCACTGGATGGTTTGGGTCGGAAAGGACCTCAAAGGTCATCTAGTTCCATCCCCCTGACACGTGCAGGGACATCTTCCACCTGAGTCACAGAGACTCATGCACTGCAGTGAACCCTCACCTGGTTTCTCCATCAGTTAAGCTCCAACTCATTCAGCTCTCTCCTTCCTCATCTGCTTGTTCCTACCCTTTGCCATCCTATGGTATTGCTCAGCTCCCATATTCCCCTGGAGAAGTGATCTGGCTGAGACAAAACCCTCAAACCAAGTTTCCCTGCCTCCCAAACGTATCCATACCCACAGCTGGAAGAAAATGTTCACCTTGCTGCCCTCACATACACCTTTTCCACCTGCTGCCCACTCCATGGCACTCACAGCTGTAGCACCATTCTTTGCACAGATGCTCATCTCTCTCTGAAAGAGGCAGAGGAGATGGTGAAGTATTTTTGAGACCCCTGGCTGGCAGAGCAGGGACAAGGATTGACCACAGAGCAGGTAAAACAGCTCTCTGTGCTGGCTGAGAGCAACCAGGGTGTAACACCACAGAGTCCTTAATTTCCTGAGGTGATGCTCCTTGCAGCACACTGATTACTTTTGTTATTTCAAGGTCTCTCATTCCGCAATATCTAACTGCAGCTATCACACGTGGAATCAGAGAACGCAGAGGGTGCTCAGCACTGATAAACGGCAAACAACAAAACATACACCAGGATATAAACACGCAGCAACAAACCCAGTGCAGTCCTTGGAAACCTGCATAGACCCTTCGCAAAACTGATTCAGACCTATAGCTGTGGCCACCTACAAGCGACGAGAGGCAATGGGGGCTCCCAAAGGGGCTCCAAAGCTCCACGCGGCTGCGCGGGGGAGGGAAACAAACGCCAACACCGTCCGCGGTGCTAACGCCAGCCAGAGAGGCACCGAGAGGCACCGGGAGGCACAGCAGAGCCGCGCGGGATGCTCCGCGCTCCGTCCCATTCCCGCGGCAGGCGC